TTTTTTGATGCTTATTTTCATGCTTATTTTTTTTGATGCTTATTTTAGGTTTTTTTTTCTCCGGTCTAGTTTTTTTTTGATGTCTATTTAGTTTTTTGTTGATGCCTCACCCCTTTTGAGAATCCCCCGAAGAGCTTTGGCGGAAGGAAGCGTCCCCGAGGAATGCCGAGCTGGGCCCTGGGGGCGCTGTCTGGGGTGCTGGCTGCATCCTGGCAACCCAGGCCCCGTCCATCCTGGCAGGCCTTGAGAAGCCGAGGCGCGATTCTTTTTCGGATTTTTTCTGAGCTTTGTGTCTGCCAGGATTCATCTACGGTTCAGGTGCACTCGCACATTCAGCAGCACAGTTGGCGTCGTTGCACTTCTGGAAGGTGTTCAGATGTTTCAGACAACCAGTTGCTTCGACCTCCCACATCCCCATAGTCACAGGAACCTCTTTCTTTTGCAGGCCCCGGATTCTGGAGCTTGGCTCGGGCACGGGCGCAGCGGGCCTCGCGGCAGCAGCTGTGGGCGCAGAAGTGGTTCTCACCGACCACTCCAACCTGAGACTTGGCCGCCAAAGAATGCCACGGACATGAAGATCGGAAGTTTCAGGAACTGGTTCGATGTTCCCAGAACAACCAAGGTTAAACTTAATTCAGCTCAACGCGCAGATGAATGCCCACTTCATCCAATCAGCGGGCGGATCCGCTTCAAGCTGTGCTTTCGATTGGGAAGAGAAGCCAGCCGATGAGCTGCTGCAGCGCCACTTCGATTTGGTCATCGGCGCAGACCTTGTCTACTCCTTTGCGGCCGTGGAGCCCTTCACTGTCGCTTTGCAGGCCGTGCTGCTGCCACAAGCGGCCGAGGGAAGAACGCAAGCCTTGGCGCCGGCAATGCTTTATGCCCACTACCCGCGCTTTCCAGATCTGGATACGGCCATGACCACAGCACTGGCAGCCAGAGGCCTTGTGCTTCAGGAACGAGCTTTGCCTCCTTGGAAAGGTGATGTTGGCTCCATCCCCGAAGATGTGCTGTGCCATGTGAAGCTCCTGGAAATCCGACCTGGGACTCCGAGCACATCGGGTGCTGTCTCTGAAGGCCAGCAAGACCAACACGGAGGCGGGCACGGGTGGGACTACCATCCCATGGACTGTGACTGTGGACAAGAGCATGGCCAGCAAGACGCACAGCCCGGGCATGGCGAACCGGGACATGGATATGGTGGAGATGGACACGGACAACCGACTGCGTGAGAAAATCGTTGCTAGAGACAGCTTGTCTTCATGTTGCACATAGTGGTGCGCATTGCGGTGCCTCGGAGGTCGGCCCAAGTCCGGAAGGAGTTTGCAACTCAGCCCAATCCTTGACCTCTGATATCCTGCCGGCAGTGCCAGGTGAGGGAGAACAGCCGCTTGCGGCAGAGGCGGGCAGAGCCTTCGAAGGAGTCTGCCTGCGTCCATCACTTCTGTGTGGCAAGCCACAGCTCAGTCGTATCGCCATACCAGCACGCAGAGATTAGTCAAAAAGTATACTTGTCCCGTTTCTCAGGCCTTGATGAAAAGTATTCCAGACCAGAAGGGTCTTCTGTGCTCTGGCGTGCGTAGCCGCATAGCGGTAACAGGACAGCTATGGAGCTTCGAAGTGAAGACCATCACAGTTGCAAGATCTTCGCCGACTGAGTGGAAGGTTTCCGCCTTCGTCGAAAGCCTGGGCGGCCTAGGCCCGGGCCCTGGCAGAAAGACCATTGAGAGGGAGGAACCAGCAGCAGCGGGGAGGTGAGCGGGAGGCTACTCCCTTCTGTAGTTTAGCCCAACATGATAAGGAGGTCGATATCGAGGCGTCCGGCTAATGTTGAAGGAAAGGAGCGCTTTCTTTGCCTCTCCGGGAATATCCCAGATCAAAAAAGCAAGCATGTCCCCTGCTGGGTCCTTGGCCTGAGGTGGGGTGGCCGACGCGACTTGGAAGCGGCCCAAAATCCCGACTGAGGAGGAGGAGAGCGGCTCTGTTTTGGACAGGTTGGACAGTGCGAGTCTCTGGGCTTCGGAATGCCATTTTGGGCGACTGGGAAGCCGAGCTTTCGACCTTGTTTAGGCTGTGTCGGGTCTTTGAGGGTGCAATGCCATCTTCGCCGAGATCGTGCTTTCAACTGTTTGTCTTTCCTATCGGGAGCTTGCACAGCCACACGGGCAAAACGCTGACTTGCGAGCTCGCGATGCAACTCAGCCTCAGGCATCAGCCGATTCTTGCCTTGCTGAACACTCGAATGGTGGTACTGGCAACTGTTTGGGAAAACGCATGTGCATCGAACACTAAAAGGCAGCGACGGGACGTACAAAGCTGGCAAAAGCTCGTATACAAAGGATGCACGTGTAACCGCCAACAAAGCCGCAAGCAAGTCTTGCGGCTTACCTTTGCACTGGGGCTCGGAACCCCACACAATTTGGGGTCTTCTGGCGCATTTTAAGTTAGTCAGCAGATGTAACGGAGGACCTTCCCCCGGAGCTGCAAGATGCAGAGATCTTGGGTGGGCTGGGAGCCCCGGGAGGCAGCGACTTGCACCCGCCCCTGACGGTTTCAGCGGCCACGAGCACAAAAGCTGCAGATTGGCTCTTTGAGGGGCCAATCAGCGGTGAAAGAAAGTGCTTAGGGCGTCTTTGTCTACTTGTGCTTGGAGCTTCCATGATGCGTAAGGCAATTTAGGCCCATTTAGAGGGTGTATCATGGCGTCCCCCTTCTCCCCAACTCCAAATCAACGTGGCACGGAAGCCCCAGCCTAGCTTGCAAAACAACTTCGACTTGCAAGAGCCTTCACGAGACCGGAGTTTTGCAAAGCCCAAGGAGCCGCCCCTCTCCTGTGGGCTCCCCGCCCCCGTCAGAAGCTTCTACGTCTTCTTGCCCAGGTCCTCAGATGCAGATGCCTCCATCTCTTCGGAGGACCTGTTTTCCACGTGGTGTCGGAGAGTGTATTTCACAGTTGTCGCGACATCCGAGAGCCCTTGGTAAGAGCGAGAAGTACTGGTGATTTTGGTGTCTCAGTGTTCTGGCATGTTGTGCAGTTCGCATCTGCCGCTTGAAGCGGCGCGGCCTGCAATTTTCAACACCTGGCTTTGTAGCACATGGCAGCTATGGGCATGGTTGGGCACGGCGACCCCCAACTTAACTCTTTGGTGCTCTTGCCCTTGAGAAGGACGAGGGCAAGGTGCCGATGAATCGCAAGGAGAGGAAAGAGGCACACCAGACTTGCGAACAAACAAACAATGGCCAGTTTCCGAGCTTTGACGATTGTAAGCACATGTTCAGGTTGATTTGCGTGAGTAACTAGCACATGCATGGTACAAAGGCTGGTGTGAGAAGACTTCGGGTTCTGCTTTGAACACATTGTGGCAGAACCAATCTCCATCCAGCGCTGCAGGCCGAGAAGCAGGCGAGAAAGCAAGCCGAGGCGGCGGAACCCCAAATCCCGGACGTCTTCATCCATGCCTGCTTTGCGAGTGTATGAGTCGAAAACGGGGGCTGCTGGATGCTCCTTCCCTGACTATGCGAGAATTTCGGCTACTAACAGTTCTTCAGAAGTTTGGTCTGATGGCCGGCAGACGCCGATGCAGCTGTTTGGTTTGATACTTGTGTGTCTCCTGGCCGGAAGGCCGAGAAGAAAGTGCAGCAGGCGAAGGCGAGTGCTGAGCAAACCCCGCACCTGCAAGATTCCAGAAGACAAAATTTACAAGAGAGCGAAGGGCAAGTTGAGCTTGACGGAGGCAACTGCGGCGCAGAGCATGGAGAAGCTTCAGATTCTTTAGCAACAGATTTGCTCGAGCATTCTTCGGGTGAGTTTTTGCCACTTTTATGCAGCCCTGCATAACGACTCCGATGACCTTCATCAGCGGTTGCCAGTGCTTAATAACTTAGAACCCCGGCAAGTCAGTTACTGTGGCCTCGGCGCCTCAAACGGCTACATCATGTTGATCATATGGGTGTTCGGAAGAGTGCATACTTCTATAGACCTGGCAAATGATAGGAAGGCGCTAGCAGTGTTTTCAAGTCGGCAACGACTGTACCGTGTGGTGTTTTTTTGCTGTGGAAAGGACCTCACGCATGACACCTTGTAGCGCTTGGTCAAGAACAAAACAGTGTGCACCGATGTGTTGGGTAGTGGAGGCTCCCGCGAAGACACCCGCAAAGCCGGCAGCGCAGAGCACCTTGCAGAATTTCATGGGTGCAGTGCTGGTTTTGCAAGGATAAGGTGGGTGTTTAGACTTGTGCCGGACGACGGCAAGTTTCAAGTTGCACTGCAGGGTTTCGTGCCATGGTTGGCTTACGCCTTGTTCAACATCGCAGATCAAGCACAAGCCCCAGCAAGTAGTAAGATAGTACGTGAACCAGCGCGCTTGGCATGAAACTCGCAAGGCCAAAGTGCCGGCGGCAAGCGCGATGGGCAAATCTTCCTGGCAGTCGCCCAGCGTGAGAGGAAGTCTACGGGCCTTGGAGCTGATCCTTCAGGGGAGTTCTCCCTGGCACTGAAAGTTGTCTAGAAGAGCTCTAGTTGAGCAGGTGTTGCTCAGAGCAGAGATTTCAGGAACTTGGGGGTCTGAAAGGAAGTTCTTTTCTCAGGTTCTGAGCTTTTCACGAGGCGTTGCCGCCGTCTGTCGACGGTGATACCTTGAGGAAGGACTTCGCCAAGCTGCCCGGACAAGTCAGAGCGGTGGGGGTGACCAGGGGGTACAACTGGGTAAGGGATAGCACGGCCAATTAGTACAGTGTAGGTGATGTGGTGAGGGTGTAGAGGCGCGCTGCTGCCAATCCAGCACGATGCACAGTTCAACTTGTGTGGTCTGTAGAGAGGAGCTGCGGGAACGCTCACAACGTAACAGTGCATCTCTTGTTGCCCTTACGTCCACCGTTTCTTTTCGGTCACTCGCTTGGTGCTTGCCGCAACTATTGAAGCAGCGGTGCCGGCTGGCAATTACAACCGGCTCATGCCGGCCCAGGTTCTCCCTCCCACCTTTGCTAGTTCCGATACGGGTTCCCCACAGACACACGCACACACACACACACACACACTCTCCAAACACTGACTCACTCTATCTCTCTCTCTCTCTCTCTCCCTGTCGCTCGCATCTTGTACAGGAAAGTTAGTCTCCATCTTTGGGAAGTACACACAGCAGTGTGCTCTACATCCACTTGATGGTTTACGTTAGTTTGCTATCAGGTTCGGCGAGATTTCCCGCTTCTATTTCCACAAAGACAGCGATGGGTCTCCGCGGGGTACGGCCTGCATTTTCTACAAAGCCCTTCGGCCTGAACGCCTAGAATTTTTGGAAGCTACTACAGGTGCTTGTGGATGGGCTGGCCAAGAACTGCGAATTTCTGGGGTAACTCAGGATCCCGACGATGCCGACAAGGTGATTCTGCTGGATGGCATCGACTACAAGGGCAATGCGATCAAGGCACTCTTGACGTGTCCCACCCGCGCGCCCGAATGCTCCTCCCAGTTGGATCGTTCTGGACACGGCGCAGACGCGCCATAAAGCGCAATGAGGTAAAGAGTGACTGCTGTTCCGCTCGCAAGCGTTGAAAGTGCAGAGGAGGGCCAACTGCGTCCGCCGAAGATCGACGCAGTGCTTAAGTCCGAATGAGCCCAAATGAGCCCATGTTCATCACAAGTTCGTCCTGCAGAAAATCGCCAGCAAGCTTCCTCGTGCAGAAAGCACTGAGCACTTTGGAACCTGAATTCTTGTGATCTGAAGTTACTGGGCCGGTGTTTGACAGACTCATAGTTGTGCTGCACGCAAGGTAAAGCGAAGACCGCCACGGAAGCCCGGGGGAAAGCAGGTGAAAAAACAGCAGGAGCATCATGACGAGTGGGTCCGAGCTGTGCTGCCTGAAACATCAGAGAAGGAAGGTGCGGATGGTTTGGTTGACGAGGCCCTGGTCATGGAAAAATTCCTTTACAAGTCTTCATGCAGGAGCGCGCCGTCAATGAGGCAGCGCCCACGAAGGAGCCTGCGGCCACCCAGACCTCGGTGCCTCGTACGACGCACGTTTCCCTAAACTCTAAGTGTCTTGCCTAGGCCGGAGCTCGGGTGATCGGACAATGTGCTTGTCTGCGGACTTCCAGCGCTGGAAAGAACAATTAGAAGACATTCTTCACTTCAACAAGCCAGAAAACACCGCGACATAGTCAGCTGGGCGGACGGAAAAAAACAAGCCAGAAAACATTGAGCAGAGCTACGAGAAGCCACCGTCATGGATAAACTTTCTGCTCGGCTACCACGTAGGACCCGAGTATTTGCACAGGTGCACCGTGAGAGTGAGGCAAGTCCAGTCTCATCTGACTCGTGACAGCAAAAGGGTTGCATGCCCTGAACGGAATTCTCGGCCCGAGCCTTTGAGGTGCCCTTCGCGTGCAAAGCTCCAGGCTCCGGGATTCTGAAGCGCACGCAGCCCCCCGGCATGGCCTTGCTTCTGTGGGGCCCACGGGGAGGCTCCTGGACTCTCCTCTCGCTCAGGAAGCACGTGGCGAAGCACACGGCAGCAAAAGAAGCTGAGGTGGGGATTGGTGGCTGTTCAGGCTATCACCCCTCCCTCGCACAGTGCAGGTGGCTGCAGATGAGGCGATGCCGGAAGGAGCATCAGCACCTGGTTTGACTCTCCTGACAGCACTGTGTAAGCATTTGTCCATTTGTCCGCCCTCAAAGTGTGTACTTGGTTCGACCCAATGGTTACAAGAAGTTGAGGGCACATCGTTTTTGCAATGCATCTCTCGTCCGATGAGGCCGCAAACCAATCTCATGGCTTCCAGCCCTGTATCTGCCAGATGTTCAGCTGAAGCCAGAAAGCTTGCCCGAGAGGTCGATGATATCACGACGGATTGTGCTTGAAGCTTCTGACAAACATGGATTGCCATGCGAGGGATACGCTGGCAAGGACCCAGTACCGAAAGCTCCCCATCTAGGATGAGATTGCCGAAGGATGCGTCACTGCCTGCAGCAGGAGCTCCGAAGGCGAAGAAAGCCAAGCGGAAACGTGTTGGCAGCTGAAAAGGATGAGAGCCTCGTGGGATGGACATGGGCCTTTTGACAGACGGCTGATTCTGTTTGTGTCGCAGTTTACGTGCTGGAAGCCGACCACCCCTGCTTGTTCCCAGAGTCCGAGAGAATGACACAAGCTCCACAAAACTGAATGCCGATCGTATCGAAGCCCACACTCAAGATCCGAACAGAAAGAATCCAGTACAGCTCCAACCAGAGTGCTTTTTCATGGGCCTTCTGCTGCTCCACCATCACCGTATTCAGGACAGTAAGTATCACGTTCACAAACCTCCTGAAATGGCAGCTTTGTGGCAATGTCGTCCATGTAGTATTCATTTACTTAGTTGTATTGCTATGGCGTGGCCTTTCTGCGAGCAGTACTATCAAATTTCGGCGGCATGTCGTTATATGCAAACTTTTGCAGTAAGTCTATTGCTTGGTCAAGACAGCGAAGAGCTCCAACTTCAGGCAAGTAACATGTCATATTGCCGCGATGAAACAAATGAGAGCACTCATTTTCATCAGTACCTATAGACGTCGCAGCTGTGACATCCAGTTTATCATGTGCTGCGGCCATCACGAACATCATCGCCATAATTGTCGTGAGTTCAAGGCAGATGCGGATCAGCGCCACCAGTGTTGTTACTATATGCTGCTAAGTGTGGTTGATCATCATCACCATCATAATCATCATCATCATCGTCATCATCATTTCTAGTGAAGCGTGTACATGCAACCCAGCATGCATGCATACAGACGCCGGCGGACGGACGGACAGACGGATAGATAGGTGTATACACGCTGTGCCGATGTAGCTGCTTTTTCATCAAACGCATACTTCGTCCCTGTGCGTCAAGGAACTACACAATACTGTATGTGCACCGAGTGCCAGGCGAAGAGACGGGAAGCCGCCGAGTTCCTTTGTCGCAGCTTGGCTTTGTGTGGTTTTCTGTGGTTTGTTGTGCCAACGTGCCAAAAGCCCAGTGCCTGAAGGAAGGACCAAACAGCCCGTCTCGGAGCTCGGAAGCTAGGGCTAGGGAGGCGCAGCTCGCGCGCTCGCGAGGCCACGTGCTGCAGGTTGTGGTCCCTCCCGGCGCCGCGAGCAAGCGGGCCATAGCCGCTTGGACACCGCTGGACTGTTAATCTCGAGTGTCAGAGGCTCTGGGACAGAACTTTATCAAGCCCGGATTGCAAGCTGCAGCAGCTGCAACACGTTTGAACTTCGACTACGCCTGAAAAAATTCTTCATGGATGTAGACGGTAGCCTGTCTTGCCAACTGCGATAGTCGCTGGACTGTAACGAGGCGAAGCAGAGAAATGAGCAAGAGCACGTAACATCATGCCCACATTCGATTCGAAGAAGCATGTAGCTCGCAGCGATTCCTGAAGAAGATCCTCGGAAGAAATATCGGGAGAAGGAAGTGTGCTGAGTGCACTCAGGACCATTTGCACCCCGCCCTCCGCCAGCGAATGGCCAGCTGCTCACCGATCGCAGACGCATCGCAGGTCGATGGGAGGCTTCAGGCTTCACTTGCACAGCATCGAGACCTCAGTGACAAGCCACTAGAGGTTCGCACTTCGAAGGCAATGTCGGGGCCTCAGATCTTTCCGTTCCGTACGAAGCAGAGTGGGGAAAGAATGAGATGCACCTGCGGTGGCAGGTCTTTTTGGGAACCGTCACACATTCCGTTTGCTCTGAGGAAAAGCTGCACGCTGGATCGGGGCAGCGCCGTGGCCCTAACCGAGTCTTGCAAACCTTGATGTGGACGCGCTCTTCAAGATGTTTCAATGGACAAGCCGATCGCCCCTGGTTTTGGCGTGTCCTTTTAGGTCCTTCTGCGGCATGGCGAGCCTGAATGCAAGGAGGTGACGATCCTTCGGCAGGCACAGGAGTGCTACCAAAACGTTCTTGGCTTCCTTCCTGTCCTCTGCTCCCAAAAAGCCCATGACTCTGGTAGGCCCTTTGCCAGAAAAGGGATCGGACCGGAGATGGAGCTTCGGCCCCCCCAAAAAAAGAAAGAGAGCCAGAAGAGAGTGCAAAGAGTGCAGACGGCTCGGCGCTCGGCTCAGGGTGCCGTGGCCTTTTGCTACCCACCGGGCCACGAAGGCAAGGAAGCGCCGCCCAGCCGCCACGCGTTTGGGGGCGCATGAGCAGGCAACGTGCTGGTTGGAGTTGGGGTTTGGGTTTTTTTTTGACGGGATGTGTGGACGGTGGACTTGTGGACGGATGTGTGTTTCTGGGAATAAACGAAACCAGGGACACGTCTTCCTTTGGGTGCCCGCAACATTACTTCAACTCTCCAGCACAGTTTACCTGCTTAGCCAACGGCACCTTGCCCGCATGCCAGGCGTTCTGCTCGCACGCCGCGCTATGCGGCGGCCGCCATGGGAGCATCGCAGGTCGCTTCGAGAGTGCGGGGGATGTCTCTTGCCCTGCATCGCGCCAGAGTCCAGCAACCTGTGCTCCAATCGTTGAGATTGAAGGGCCCGCTGGTGTTGTTCTTTCGTCGATGGATCGCCAGATTGTCACCACCCCCGGTGAGCTCATTGGCGTGTATTCGGCCATCTTCAAGGACCCCGAGCCTGTGTGGACACCCAGACTTCGCGAATGGCTCCAAGTTGATATCGCCCTTTATGCAAGAAATCCATTTCATGATTGCCGCCTGTGTTTGAGGCCACTGTCCGCGTGGAAAGTGCAACCTGTGACATTTATCGCGTGCCATGGGCCGGAAACTTGATGCTCAGGGCAGGGCGTCTTCAGGGATTCCCGTGTGGAGGCTCTGGACTCTTCAAGCTGACTCTTAAAGTAAACGCTCTCGCAGCAGGATATGCTAGCAATGTGCAGCAAGGGGAGGAGGGATGTCCAACTGTGATTCTGCCATTGCTTGTTCTTTGTGAAGACTCAGACAGGCGCAGATCAGCATGTCCTGTAGCCGCAACTGCAGCGTTCGGAATGATACTTGCCGCATGCCACTGCATTTGTAGGGGACTGCAGATGTTGTTGCATGGGCTGTTGCATGCTGCTGTATCTTTCCTCAATGCACAAGCAGCACCATCACGGCAACATGTTGTAAAACCCATGCACCGACTTCATGTTGACGCGGCGAACCGACATGGACTCTGTTCCGCTGCCAGAGCCAAGCGATGTTGTTTTGCGCAGCATACCCCAGCCTACGAAATCTGACCCTGAACCCAACCAGCCCCCAAGCATTAACTCACAAGAATCGAAAAGCATCAACTGGCTCGGTGCAGTCGTCATGGCACTTGTCACGGAGGTGGGCCTGGGCTTGCCAAGGTCAAGAGTCAGCTTTCCGTGGAGCTGAGATCAGAATCACACCACACTTAAGGCCGCACATGTCTCGTGAAACTCCGGCATCTTGAGAGCGAGGCTTTCAGCCTTGGGGCGCCGCCGACGCTGCCTGTCACCAGGCAAGGCCATCTTCTTTCCGATAAGAAGACAGCAGGTTGCCCGAACCTAGCGTGACGGGTGAAAAGTGTTACGTGATTTATTGCAGGGCCGCACCTGCAAAATGGGGGATGGGCCAGGGAAAATTGGTTCTCGCTGATTGAAAAGCGCATGAAGGAAAATCCCGACAGCGACGAACAAAGCCGCAGCATCCGCCTGAAGCTGGCACTTGGTGCGAGGCCGGCGCCGCCTCACGGCCGAACACGTGGCGCGCCAGAGCGAGGTGCAGAAAAGGGGCTGGCTGTAAGGTTTCACAGGTTCCGGCTCCAGCACAGCTTGGCCTTGCCGGGTGAAATGTTGAGCCACTAAAGTCACTAAAGGGCCTTTCGTGGTAAATTTGAGGTTTTGGAAACTCACAAATGGGGATCGCTGCGGCGCGATGTTTGCCAAAACCTAAGATCTTCGATGTCCTGCCTAAAGCGGACATACCCACACGGAATAGCATGTGCGATCAACCTTGTTAGAAGTCAGTTCTTGAGGCGTTTCGTCCACGCTCACCCCAGCCGCCACAGCTTTGGCTGCGGGTGTTTTGGCGAACAGGCGAGGCGGCAGCATGCCGGTGCGTGTGCCTGAATTTAGAGCCCGTTATGAGTGATCACCCAAAGCCCAAAACTCCAAGCCCAAAGTCGGAGCTGCATACGAGAGACATTGAGCTTCCTGATGTTGAAGTTTTGAGACTCAGAGTCTTGCTTGCAGGGAGCTGGCCTGCACTCCTAAACCAAGATTTCTGAAGTTTACAGTCTAGGTGGGCCCCTACGAGGCAACTACACAGGAGCTTAAAGGGTCGATCATGGAGAGTAATGCTGTTGCTGAAGGCTTTGGAATCTTTAGAGTAAGAGAGTTGGACTGCTGCGGCTAGCATCATGTTCTGGATTGCATGTGCAGACCGCACCTGCCCCGAAGGCCGCCCCGACAGGCCATAGAGGCACGAGCGAAAACTGAATCCCTACGTAATGGTTCCATGCAGGCTGCTTTCTTGGAGGGTCGAGTTATTTTATAGAGTTAGAAGTACCATAACCCCAATTAGGACGCCATTTCGGCTACTTATCTGACCTACTTACTAAGTCCCCCGACCCTCCAACTTTGGAGCGCACACACACCCACACGCACACACGCACACGACTTGCCAGGCGCTCGGGTGGAGCGCGGGGCGCTCCGGCCCGGGGTGTCCGGATCCAGGAGCTGCAAGGGCCACAAGGGCCGAAGGAAGGTTCAGGTGAAGTGCGGTTTGGGGTCGGCGAGTCTTCGAAGTTTTGGATTCTCGAACTGCCGAAATCGCAACCTGGCGGTTTGGGGTGTCGGACATCGGACTGCCAGGCCGTCGCTAGCAGCCGAACGAACGGGCTGGTGGAGCCGCACGTGGAGGGGCCGACGCCTGTCATTTTTCGATTGTCTCTTGGGCAGATGAAGGGACTGGAGTCTTTGGGGTATCTAATGCTTAGGTGGTCTTCGGTTGGAGCGTCGCAGTTCTCGCAGGAGGGGAGCAAATCTGAAAGTTGGACTCGGCTTCAAAGGCTTCGTTTGAGGACTCGGCAGCCAGAAAGTTCCAACTCGAAGCCGAGGGGCATGCATTCCTTCCCTTCAGTGCTTGCACCTGTTTGCTATAGACTTGAAGATAATGGAGATGCGCATGTCTTTGTTGGTACAAAGCCGGTTTATTGGGTTAGTGCTTTCGGCCTTGCAGCGGCTCGGATCTTCTACGCACTTCCAAGCTCTGAGGACCGACTTGGAGCAAGAGCTGGGCAGTCTTGGTGCGAAGGTCTTGGAGACTCGGGGAGAGGTTTCTTGTTTGCTTCGGGCCCGGGCAGGTCTGTGAAACTGACACATCAGAGCAGCTGTAGAGGCATCAGAAAGAAATCCTTCCCTGCGGAGTGCTCGGTGCCTCCTCCTCCTGTTGCGGAGGCCGCCGATGTCCAGGCCATGGAGCTTTCGAAGCTCGAGGCGAGGCTCCCACCGGGGGCAGCCGGAGCGTTTTGTGCGGAGCGTTTTTTGCCGAGGCGGAGGAGGCCGAGGATGAGGAAGCGGAGGAGGAGGGCTCTTTGCCCGAACCCGCGAAGCGCATCGTGAATACTCGAGAGGTGGAGCTCTGGCCACTTGGACCTCTCGTGACGTCCTTCCCCGTCCTTACCCCCATCCCGATTTTTTTGGGGGGGTGCTTCGAGTTCCTCGCCCAGGCCAGGGATACCAGATCCCATGGTCAGCTTGGCTGCAAGAATGACATGAGCAAGGGCTGAGGTCGAGGATCGGGAACAGGCATGACTTGACTTTACCGTCAGCGATGAATCAGTCGAGGGGCACTTGAGATGCAGGGTGTGCTCCTGAAAAGCCACGGACTGGATCATAGCTCGCTGGCAAGCTGTGGAAGCAATGCCTTTGTCACAAACTTCAACTGCACCATAAAATGAGGGTGGCGAGGCAGTCACAGAATGCTGCTGAGGTGGACTTCGGTGGCCTCCCCATCCCCCAGCGCCTGGCGCCCAGAGTTCTGAGCATGCCAAGCCAAGCACGGCCATAGCGGAGGCCTCGCCGACGCTTTTACCGAGCGCGGCATCCTCCAGCCATCCAGCATCCAGGACACTTTCTGTCATTGCCCTTGACATGTTGAGAGCTTTTGTCTTCTTCGGTAGCATCAGCCGTGACACAACAGGGCATATAGGCTACAGACTGCGGGTCTCAGTGGAAGAAACACCGAGATTCGAACAGAGAGGAGCTCGTGATGCCCAAGCTGGCCAAGGGCGAGCACATCATCCTCCATGCCCCTACAGGCCTGGCCTGCTTGAAGCAGCCATCCCCCAGAATGCACTCCCAGAGTTTTCTGAGCCCAGGCAGTGGGAAGACATTCGCATACTTGCTTCCCATCCTCGCAAGGCGCAGTTCCGACACAGCTCGGGTGTATCCGCAACTTCCCCAATGCTCACAGGCTGCAACCGACCATGCACGTCGGTGCACAGGCACGGGATGTGCACGGGCTGACGCAAGTCGATGCAAGCCGAGTGCGTCACCATGTTCCTTGTCGACGGCTTACTCGGAACACAACTTGCTAGGCGGAGGAAGCGGACGTTCTATCAGAACCACCGAATTTCGGGTTCCATGTGGCCCTGCAATCAAAGCTTTATCGGCTGACACCTGTCAGGCAATCATTTTTGTCCCGACGCCGGAGCTCGCCCTTCAGGCAGCGGCTTCGAAGCAGGATTTGCCCAGAAGCCTAGGCTCACAGTGCTGCATGTGCTGCATGCCATTATTCACCCTGGGGCCTGCGACACAAAATCCCCGCTCCCTCTCCCGAACCCTTTTCTCGAACATGCAGCGTGGGAGGTCACACGTGAGCTGAAGTGGCTGATCTATGCCACCCGGCAGCAGGCAACAAGCAAGGCCAGGAGTTTGTCTTCGCAGCAAGGCCCCACCAGTCATGGACAAAAGTTGTGCCACAGACGCGAGCGAGAGACCCAGCGAGAGCGCCGACAGTTAACAAATGGAGCTCGAAGCTCCGAACTAGACTGGAGAAGCTTCGGCCGGCGATCCCACGACGCCGTAAGTGTTTCAACATGAGTCTTTGAACGGTCCTGCGCCTTCTGTGGTTGCCTGGCACGCGGCTTTGGTTGAAGAGACCTGTTGAGACTGCGAGGAACCCATGGATATGTTTTTTTACGTGGGGGGCGGGGGTTCACCTTGAGGATTGGTGAAACATCGTGATGCATTGTCATGGCAATCCCCATGTGCAAGGTATTGGCAGGTGGCTCCGATGGCACTTGCTGGTTCAACCCGCAAGTTCCACAGGACCTGACCCATCACAGACTTTGGAAGAGAATGGCCACATGGGGAGGGGTTCTCCTGCGATCCTGCATCAGACGCTTTTGACCCAAGATTCCGATGTTTAGAAACGTGCCTTGGCTACGGCTCAAGCTCTCAAAACTTTCTTCGCACGCAATACTTTCGCCTTGGCGACCCGTGCATCATGGCCCCAATGAGCCATCCGATGGATCAGCAGATCACCGCAGAGGGCCCGACGATCGCCATCTTCAATGTGGCAATGATCGGCCACGTGAACCCTACCTTCGCCCTAGTGCAGGAGCTCTGCAAGCGCGGCTGCAAGGTAAGCTACTTCTTGCCGCCTGTTGCTCCGATCCGTGCTGCTGCCATGGAGTCTGGGGCAGTCGTGGAAGGCTACCTCCCTGAGGATCCATCAGACTTCGTGATGGAGAAGTGTGGCATTGACGAGCCGTTGTGTCACGTCGCGCCCGAGATTCTGGAGGACGACCGTGCATTATACGAGAGAGCTGTTTGGCCTCTGGCCCAGGCCCTCCTGTGTGGGGAGTATGTCATCGAGCGGTGCCGACAGCTGGGAGTCAGCGTGGTTCTCTACGACCCCGTCCTGCCCCTTGGGCTCCTGGCAGCCACGAAGTTAGGCATCCAGTGCGCCTCCTTGGTCACCTACCCCGGTATGGGGAGTCTTTCCGGCTTGATGTCGACATTGGAGGCTGAGGGGCGGCTGGAGCGCGCTGGCGCCATCCGCAAGCCTTACGGAAAGGCTATCCAAGATAAATTCGGCGTGGACTTGTGCTGCAACCTCCTGACACGCCGGCAGTTCTATACAAAGACGAACTTTGTCACCACTTGCGAGGACTTGATCGCTGAGCTGCCAGCATCGGGAGAGCAGAAGTGGGCGGATGAGCTGCGCACGGAGTTCAGCTTTTCGGCAGTCGGCTGCCTCGTCAGCAGCTCTGCGCCGCATGTGATCACAGCACGGTCAGACAGCTTCATCCCGCGCGTGAAGAGCTTCGGCCACTCCTTGCCTGTCGCGGAGCTTTCGGATCAGCTGGCCAAGGGCAGGAAGATCATCTATGCCGCCTTGGGCACCATGGCGCTTTCAGATCGTTGGAGCATTGACCTCGGCCGTATCAGTGGCTACAACCTTCCTCACGGGACCACTGGCAAGGCCTTCTGCCAGCATGTCTGGAAAGCTCTCCTCGCTGCCATGGAGGAGCTTGGGGATGATTTCTTTTGCCTTCTCTCTGTGGGGAAGCAGCCAGATGCCCTGGACTTCCTGGGCAGCAGCGAGGCAGAGATTTTCGAGCTCGTACCCAGCAACGTCCTGATCCGTGGGTTTGTCCCACAGGTGGACATGCTGAACAACTACACATCCGCCTTCATCTCGCACGTCGGCTTCAACAGCCTCCAGGAGAGCCTGATGGCTGGAGTGCCCCTGGTAGCCATCCCACAGGCAGTCGACCAGCCGGCCAACGCCTCCAAGGTGGAGCAGAGAGGCTGGGGACAAGCCTTCTTCAAACCCATGGAGACAGTCAGCAGCACTGCTTTGGCGCAGTCTTTGTGCCAGGTGTGCGATAAGAATAGCATGTACCGACAGCAAGTGCAGCGTGCCCGCTCGGAGCTCGCGGGAGGCGCGCCGCGGCTGGCCGAAAGGCTGCTTTCGATGTCGTATCAGAGCAGTGCGGCCTGGGGCGGTTGCTAAAGAGCTTGCAACTCCTCGGCGGCAAGCAGGCTTTTCTAGCATGGTCCTACTAATTCATTTCTTGCATGCAGTAAGTGCAAAGACCGACAGCGGGTTGCACAGCTTAGCTCCAGGAGCTCAGCCCTGATTGGCAAGGAGAGGTCTGAACCTGTCGGTTCCCTGCCGCCGAAATCGGAAGGAAACCCAGAAATTTGAACCGTTTCGCTCGGGCTCCGGTGAGCTGCAATGTACAGGGTGGGCCGATGTGCCACACCTGGCTTCTCCTCACGGCTGGACTTGTAAAGAAGAGCAGGGAGGTTCATAAGATCGCCGGGGGTCTGACCGTAGGATCAATGTTGCCTGAGGCCTAGAACGCCCTAAACCGATCTTGGTCCGAACCTCCTTTATTTCGGGGCTTTGTACAGCATTGCTTCGCAGCCGAGCCGAGCCACGCTCCACCTGACACGAGCAGGGGGAAAAAAAGAGTTTGAGTACAGCCGACAAGGTCTCAATTCTTAGATGAGCCGCGCTTACGAACATTCTCGGCAAAGGGACCACCGACCACAAAGCACAAAGCTTTCCGCTTTCTTTCTTTCGGACGCACTGTGAGTGAGCACAGCACCAAGAGCTTCAAGGACTGTCGAATCCCAAGTTTACGTAGGGGCTTCGGCCTGCCAAGCGGTCGTCAGTTGAGCCCGGCTGCCTGAGTACCTTCGATGTCGATTCCTGGAGGAATCTTTTAGCTATGTGCTTTGCTTAGACCTGTATGACGCCGACTCAGACCTATTGAACCTCGCCTGGCTTGTCCGAGTTGTGAGAGCGTAAGTCTATGTAAGTGAGACATGGAGGTTAGACACTGCCGGCACTTGACAGCATTTTGCTCACATTCGTACCAGATTGCAGACTCCCGACACCTCTCATGGCTTTGGGTTCTCTCCACGTATTTGAGAAGATTGCCGGACGGTTTAAGCTCGAAGCTGATGATGAGATCATCAGCTGCCACGGGGCCGCAGTCGTCGACGCACGGCAGACTATGAAGAAGCAGAGGTCCGAACAAAGAGGCCGGATGACGCAAGCACAGAGCGCCATTTCAAAGTCCCGTGTCATTAACTTTCTGAGGAAGAATGGCTTCAGCCACGCAGTCGCAGACCTCAACTCGCCGAAGCGCACCGTATTTGGCTTTCGCCGAACATTCCCTGTGCACCATGCCGCAAAACAGAAAGACTGGGACATGGTGATTCTTTTGCTTTACTTCGGTGCAGATCCACTGTGCCGTGACAGCCAGAATCGAGACCTTTCCAGCTACTTGGGCCAGGAGGCACCTGCAAAGATCCACCGGTTCCTGGCTACCAGAAGCCGGTCGAGTCTGCTTGAATCGCTTTAGACAAGGATCTAGATTTCGTCTGTTCCCCCCATCCTGCAAAAATTTGCAGTTCGGGGTTTGACACAGATCCTGACTTGTTTCCTTTCCTAGCTTCCTTTTTGTTCGTTTGCCTTTTTCCTTTGCCGGACATGTCCGGAGGCAGCCGGACAAGTGAAAGAGTTACGTGATGTCCACATACAGCAACCGTTTGGACGGTTCGTTGCTGTGGGATTTGTGTACCTGCTGTCGTTGGGCATCAGAAGTCACAGATCCTTCGCAGCCTTGGCATCTTAATTACGGTTTGATCAGGTTTCAGTGTGAATCGGCGCGATGTGCGTCACTGAGTATGATGTGCGGCTCGGCAAACCGACCAGTCTCGCCGAGAAGCTTGAACTAGGCACTCGACTGCCCACGCTTGTACAAAACTGAAGTGCTCGGGAAGTCCAAACTCTGCATTGCCACGTGAACTTGCACTCAGACAGTTTGACAGGTTCTGGAGTCTCGAATCACGTTTGTGGTCTTCTGCAGTGTGAGGAACTCGCCTGCAGCGTCCTGCTGTCGAGATCGAACTTGTGGGATACAATCCGCCAGGTCTGTCCCTTATGCAGAGTGCAACGAGTGCAGGAGTGTTGCGGCAGTCAAGCCGTCAAGGAATAGACGTCCAGAAGTCGGGCATGCATTGGCCCAGGACTCTGCAATCATGGTCTCGACACCAGGACAGCCGGCTGCATCAGGTGTACTGCTTGTCCTGCCGTCCGGTTACTTCGTTTCGCTGTCCTGTGCTCGGACGGACTTGAGGCATGATCCTCAGCGAGATTCGTCAGCTAAAGTTCGAGGGCAGGCGGTTCAAAGAGACCCTTGCCTACTTCATGGCCAGCAATGTTTCGCGGCGGCAGTTGAAATGGGTGGGGTTGGACTTCAGAAGTTCCCGACTTTTCAAGCAGTGGCATTCAGCTCTTTGCCCTCGAGGGAAGATGAAGATCAGGGACAGGGCTGACACGAGACATCGGGCGACTAGCACGGTTTCCCGAGCCCCAGCAACCCTGGCAAACTCGGCCTAGCTCTAAGCCCACACGGCTGGCTTCCGAAGGCAAGGATCCCCAATCGCATACGGGGCCGAAGAAAAGAATTTGGCTTACAGCCCAAGCAGCGGGGAAAAAGACCCAGGTTCAGGCCATCGTCGTGGACGAAGTGGACGCGCTGACGCCGGTGCCAAAACCAGGTGAGCCCGTGCAAATTGAAAGCACCAGTCTTTCGCAAATTTGGTTGGTAATTTGCTGGCACTGGTAAGTCGAAAGGGTTTCGGGTGTCGGCATGGAGACAGTCCAAGGGACGCACAGCAACCAGCTGAGTAACCAAGCGTGAAAGAGTTCACAGAGATTCCGTGGTCGTTTGGTCAAATGTCATACAACATGATAATTAACCCACTTGTGTGTGACATTGGCTTGGTTTGCATCCTCGACCTATCTGGAATCGTGAGCGACTGAAACTCATCATCATTATCATAGCCAGTTTCATTTAGACATGACCTGTTCGCGTACAGCAACAGCTTGGAGCCTCCGTCAGGAAACAACTCGCGGCGGTTTGGTGCAACCGAGCAGGCCGGGACTGGCTTCCTCTGAAGCTGTTCCTTCGCTGCTGTTTTTGTTCGTGGCAGTCGGGCCGAAGAAGGCCTCGGGCGTCCTTTTGAGGAGGGCGTGGGGTCTCTGCCCAACGGGATCGCTCGGATGGGTTTAGGGTTTCGCGCAGCCACACAGTACCCAGGGCGGGCTCGGAGCCGGAGCTTGGTCCGGTCGAGTTCCACGCACGTCACATGTCGCGTGCGCCCTGCGCTTTCGTGCTCTTTGTCCGCGGCGGGCGCCACCTCCTTGCAGACGCTTGAGGCGTGAGGTCCAGGTGCACCAGGTGTGAGACCTCTTCAGTGTTTGCGTTGCTTTCTTTGCGGTTCATTTCGTGAGGCAGCATGCTTGCAGTTGGATGAAAGCACAAAGGAAAAGTCCTGGGGGATGGCCCCAATGTGTCCTACCTTGTCCTCTGACTGCCACACTGCTTGACGTGTGCCTTTCCACTTGCCTTGGATGCTTGACACAGTCTTTTCCACCTGAACTTCGACAGGTCGTGGCCTACATCATCAACGTTGCCCCTTGCATCTGAAATTGGGCTGATGACTTGTGCCATTCACTGCTTCATGCCAGGAAGATGGAAATGCCAAGGCTTGTCAAGTTTGCAAGACTGAGGAAAAGCAGACATCTCAGGGTCAGCAAATCTGATCTTCTCAGGTGAAAAGTCGATATCGGAATCGGCCGATTCAGCAGCTCGGCGAGCAGGGTTCAAACGGGGCCTGTCAGCAATGGACTGCTCGGCATCGTCGGTGTTAGATGGCTGAAGCAGTGCCTTCGGTCAGGATGATCGCAGCTTCGGCCACTGCCAACTGCCAGAGAGTATCAAAGTTCCTGGATCGGCTGAATGCCTGGCCGCCTGGCTGTGACAATCTTGAAGCAAGCAGCATGCAAAGCAGCATGCATGGTTTTTCCTGCGACGCCCATCCCAGGAAGTGGAACAAGAGGCGCGACATGGCCAGGAGGCAGACACCAGAGCTGATCCAGCCTCTCGGCGCTTTGTTTCACCACAGCTCGTTGGCACTTGGGTAGAAGGTTTCAAGCAGGTTTCAGAGAGAGAGGTGATGGTACTTCGACGCCATCTCCTTGAATACAGAACCAAATCTAGAACAAGAGCAATGACTCCTCTTAACCTCTTTCAGTGAGATGTTTGGCTGGTGCTTGCCTCAGCCGGGAGGTCTCATGAAAGACGGGTGTGGGTGGACTTCGTTTGCGTCGTGTGTTTGTTGGAGACGCGGCTGGGGCCTTGATTCTGCTGTAGAGTAGCCCCTCATTAGGCACACGGTATGTGAGGGAAATACCCACTTGGCATCACCCGCGCAATCTGACCAGAGTTCAAGCGTGTTAGGCTTGCTAGCTGCTAGGCAGCATGAGGCGAGTGGTTGGACTCCGTCTCAAAAGTTTTCGAAGTTTTTTGATCAATCGGGGAGGCCCCGCTTGCTTGCAAAGTCTGCCCCTCAGGGCCAATGCCACCGTGGGGCGCGTAGGCGCCAGTCCCGGAAAGATCCGGGGGCCCTCGAAGCCGGTAGCTGCTCGGCTGTTGCTATTGCCTAACGAAAGCCAGGATCATGCTAGGCTATGTGGAGCCTCCCGGATGCCTGCACTTTCCGAGGTCCCGATGCCATCGAGTCTCCAAGTCGCAAGTTCTTTTCAAACCGGACATGTGGAACAAGAGAGCATGAATCCCCAAGACGCGTCCTTGGAGTTTGGTGCTTCCGAATTTGCCCAAGGCATAACCCATGCGGTGGCTGTGGTGAAGGGCAATGAACAGGGCAATTTCTTCAGTGCCGAGCCTGCAGTTGGACATGTGCTCCCTCGCATGCAAGTAGAACGGGACAAATGGTAAGGAGAGAATTCACGATTCGACCGATCCTGACACTCACTCCAGTCGCAGTGCAAATCGCCGGCAGTGGCAGCACTCTCGTGACAGGTCAGGACCGGTTCAAGCTGCTGGTGGATATTGTCAAGAACTTGAAAGAGAAGGGCACTGTGCTTTGTCATGCGTTGAAGTTGAGGTTTCATTGCCAAGGGGTCGCACCAGTAGTTAGTAGGCATCATGCCCGTCATTGTAATTTGCAGAATGGCAAAGAAGTGCCGACTGATTCGGTTGAAGATCCAAAGGAAAGGGCAAGACAAGACAATTGTAAGACAGAGGCATCAGCTCTTGATGATTGTCAGTGCCTTGAAGCAGTCCTCCACAACCGCTGTGTTCTGCAAAGGTGCTCCTTTTCGTCCCGGAGCATGTGCCTGGGCTGCGCGATGTGCCGTGTTGCTGGGAATGCTCTTGCTGCAACATGTCTTGCCGTCGCTTTCCCTCACAATAGCAAAGGGAGTGTGCAGCTGCTTTCGTCACCAGCACCAGGTGAAAATGGATGCCATGGTGCTGATTTTGCAGAAGGGTGGCATTCCGGACCATGGGAGGGTCGTGGTCACAGGGAAGCTGCGTGGAATCCGCGCAGCCTTGAGAGAGCTGGAGAGATAGCATCCTGAGCTGTGAGGATGTCTGCAAGTATCGCTCCGAAGCCACACGACAGCACGACAGCAAGCTTTGCTTTTGGCAGAGATAGCATGGCCACAAGAAAGTGAGGTCGGCCTGGGCATCTCAACAGAGAAGGCCCTGGATCCAAGCATCTCGGCGGAAGCGATGCTCAGAGTGGTAATGTGCTGGGAAGTTTCTGTGCAAAACTGCGGTAGAAGTGGTGATTGCGAGGCCTTGGTATAGCCTTAGTAGAGTCTTTGGACCGTCGAGGCTTTCAGCGAAACCCCCGGAAAAATCCGAACAAGCCGCTTGGACCAAAGAAGCGCCTGCTCCGAGCTTCCAGCGTTTGCCGCAATGCGCCGCTCCGCGCTGAGAAGTCTGTTTTGCCAGGCGAGCTCCACCCGCCGAGCAGGACCGACTTGCTTCCTTTGGGAAGACAGAGATGTCAAACCAGCAAAGCAGAGAGGAAAAAGAGAGAGAGCCCGCGCGAGAGGAGGGGCTCTTGCGTGCTCCTTCTCTGGCTGTGTCGAAGAAGAGAGAGAGAGAGAGAGAGAGAGAGAGAGAGAGAGAGAGAAGCTCCGCGGATGACTCAAGTGGTGCCTAC